TTTTGGTTGGCCTTAAGTGAAGGTAAGTTTAAGATTTCCAAAACCCTTTTATCTTAAACTAGGCCTAGCTTAAGGATTATTAGGAGTACTCTGTATACTGGAATATAGTTTAATTAGTTAAACTAGAATTCATTTAAGGGTTATAAATATTAAAATGATTGGCCTTAGACTAAGAATAGTTTAAGGATATTGTTGAATGACAAATGAAGAACATACATGTTGAACGATTGAATAATGAATGTTGAAAATTGAATATTGATTATTGAATATCTGAATGAACATTATGTGCATGATATCAAATGATTTGATTGTGAATTGAGATACAATTTATATGGATGTTCGACGCATTAGATATGCTTACTCAGCTTTACCGCTGAGCGTGTGGTATGTTTTTTTTGCTACACGCAGGTTATTAGAAAGAATGAAGTAACGTGGTCCTGGAGGCAGACGGAGGCGAGATTGTCGGAATGGATGTGATGGTTTTGAATTAAAGAACATAATAAATGATGTTGTAATTATGATTTGGTAAAGCTTCCGAAATATTGAAAACTCCGTACTGTTTATATTATGAAAAATATTATTATGATAAATAAAAGTGTTTGAAATGTTTTAAACTTTTACGATTACCAAGTTAATACTTTAGTCCGAAAGGGGCTGCAGACCTGGACGGAGTAGGGTGTTACAATGCTTATGCAATGAAGGAGTATTGAAATGTTGAAGAATTGTATGTAAAATGAGAGGATTTGGGTGCCATTTTATAGCCTATAGCCCAAAATGGGATAAATCCGTTGCTAGAGTTTCCAACAGGATGAAGACAAATTTTTCAGAGACACAGGGTGATAGTCGATTGTCAAAGCTTGATAATCGATTATCCAAATATTCCCTGTCCAAAAATTTAAAATTCTATCCGTTGGAGGACAACGGTAACCAAGATAATCGATTGTCAACAAGTGATAATCGATTATTGGTCCTCTCAGAAGATTCTGGGTTTTGGCTGCAAAGACTGATAATCGATTATGGCGTGCTTCAGAACTTTGGAAGTTCAAAGCTGCAGTGGCTCATAGTCGATTGTCACTAAGGTGATAATCGATTATCACCCAGCTAAAGTCTAGCCAGCTGAAACCAGTTTTGAAAAACCGAGGTCCAAAAACGAAGTGTTCCCTAAAGTAAAAACCAGGTTTGGAAAATATTGTATATGGTATTAAATAGTGAAAACAAGACTTGTTTGGTAAAAACCAAGTCTCCAAGGTCGTATAATACGTGCGTACGGTTTAGTCCGTTTTTCACGTGTTAGACCGATTGACCAAGATACAAAAGTGGTTTTTATAAAATAATTATTTGGGAACATTTTAAAAATGCTCAGAGGTAAAAACAGGGTTTAAAATATTGAAAACCACGGAGTTGGTTCGGGCGCCAAAAACCGAACGCCGAAAGCCGAACGTCGAAAGCCGAACGCCGACTTAGGTGGTTTTAGTTCTGAGCAAGGACTAGGGATTTTAACAATAAAAGAAATCATCAAAAGTGTTTGTTTTGATGCACAAAAAATATTTTATGGTTTGTAAAAAAATTGTTTTGACTTTTTGAGAACCGAGACTTGAATATATTGTCGGTTTTGATCACAAAAGACCGACTCGACTAAGTCTTCAATTCCTGATCTTGTCCTTGAGTCTTTAGGTCTTGTTCCAAGCCATTCTTCACGCCTTGAGTTATTCAACGAAACTTTTTATATCCACGGCGGTTTGACAATTATCAAAACCTGTTAGAAATGAACACGACTTTAGTTTATCGTAGAAAGTGTGTTCCAACAATTTCCCCCTTTTTGATAATGGCAAACAAGACGGGGATATGCATAGGATAATGTTTTTTCTGATAGGATAATGTTTCTTATATTTTTCTTATATTTTTCTTACTAACTAAAAGGTACTACATAATTACTTAAGATATCAAGCACTTGTACATTGCTGATAGGATAATGTTTTTTCTGTAATTTGATTTTTTCGATCTCTAGTGCAATACAATGATCATTAATATGTATGATTATAGTTAATTACTTCGCGTTATATAAACCTAAAGTATTCTATGGAGTAAATCCATAAATGATCCATTAGGCCGGTGAGGTCGCGCTTGACATAAGGATGCTACAAGAAAGAGATCTCAAATTCGAAGACTGGTGGTTGCAGTGAAGGACAATCATGCAAATAATGGGATCTCTGCAAGTACGAGCTACGAAACTTCAGCTCTACGCCAACTGGTTGAGATTATATATATCTCAATTTACCTCATCTCAACTACTTGCTTAACTAGTGGGAGCCAATGGGGATATGGTTCATCTTTTTTTGTAAATTATCCCATATAACAAGATGTCAAGATGTTTTCCATATATAGTTTCACTTCTAAGAAATTACATTCGTAGTCCTTGATATTTGAGAATTATTCCATAATTAGTCATTTGAACACTATATATGGAAAACAATATCTTAGCCAAAAGAGTGACTATAGAACCGTTTTAAAAGAGTGAGGATGATCATGAATGTAACTTTTAAAATTGGAGACCCTATGAAAAATATCATATAATAAGGGATGATTTGTGAAATTTACTCTATTCTATAATTACACTAGTATTTAACCCGTGCAACGCACGGGGTCAAACAAATGTTATTTTTAACTCTTTTAAATGTTTGTTTTAAGTACATAATTAAAAAATGAAGCTAAATATAATAGACAATGTTAGAATTTCAATGAATGATACAACACAAACAGAGTATGATAACTAAATTTAATGGGAAACAAAATTGGAATAGAACGTATAAATGTATTAATTAAATCCAAATTTTTTAAAAAACTTCAGGGAAAACCATATTTTTGGTGCAATTGTTAGGGTTATCAGTGTCATCTAAAACTAACACTTTCAATTGACATAGTACTTTAGATAAAAGGATTAACCAAAGAATCCAATAGTTATAATTTATAAACTGTCTAACACAACAATAAAAACCAAAAAGAAGGAAATAATACTCTCAAGATAACGTAAAAGTTCTAGACTTAGTTTTCTCTATTTTAACGTAAAATGAGTATCAGTAACTTAAAATCAAGTTTCGCTTGAATCTCTCTCACTAATTCTTTACATTGTCATCATCATAGAAACTCACTCATGCTGTATATTAAAAAAAACAATGAGATATACTTCCTCTATCCGGCTTTTTTGGTCCATTTCTGAAATATACCTAAACCCGGTTTCAAGACATTTTGAGAAAATAATAGGCTTGTTAATTCATCAACTCTATAGCCATGCAATACTTCACAAAAAAGAGGACTGGTAGTAACATGTGAGGAAGGGAAAAAACTTACTAAAGAGAATCTTGTCAAGGCTCTCGTTTGAAATAAATTCATAAACAAGCAATTTTTCGTCCCCCTGAGCACAATATCCCAGCAAATTCACCACATTCCTGTGTTGAACTCGTGCCAATACCTTTGCCTTAATCTGAAACTCTCTTTTCCCCTGCCTTGAGCTCCGTGACAGTTTTTTGACAGCTACTTCTCTCCCATCACGCAATATTCCCTACAAAGATCAAGACACCTTTTAGATTTCTTCTTTTCCATTACTATATATTCACAGGTTTTACACACAAAAATCCCCAAAAAGTGCCAATTAGTGAGAGAGATACTCCTTATAAGCCAAAGTTGATATTTTTCATTGTTTCTCAAAAGCCAATAAAGAATGTAAAAAAATTCAACTTTGGTTAAAGTTATTTGCCTCATAAACTGGGCCAAATCCACCCTCTCCAAGCTTGTTACTGGGATGAAAATCATTGGTTGCAGAAACAAGGGTTTCGTAAGTGAATTGCTTCTGCTCTTGTGCTGCAATTCTCTCCAAGTCATCTCGATTTGAACCTATTGATTTGTCAAAAAAAGCACATAAGAACGAAGAAAAGGAAAGTGAAAAAGCTCAGTAAATCAAAGCATTTCAAGAAAGAAACTAAAACAGACTCAATTAAGGTCTAAAATAACTAATGGAGCAGGAAAATTACCTCTCTGGGAGCTAGAAAAAAAGGGTTTCATGATATTGACAAGGAAGCTTTGAGATTTTTTTCATGACAGTTGGAATGGAGAAATGACTTTTAGTCCATTTGAATGGTAAGAAATATTGGTTTCAGTTCTGAAAAACAAACGGTGAGGGGGGGGGTTGTTACACGGATTTGGCCATCAATGAGAATCGTTCATGGTTAGTCCATTCTCCATTGTCTCTATAACACAGATTTTCCAATGACATTTCCGATGGGTCGAACAAACGGAGCGATGATGCGTTGTGATTAATGAGCCTAGCTAGTTGACCACAGATTGACTATCAGAGGAATAGACGAAAAGTCTTACAAGAAACCTATGCATACGGAAAAGTCTTACAAGCATGAAACTTTTCCGGATTATGCTATGTGTACCCAAGGTTTGTACCTTAATTTGTACCCCGTAGTTTTGCATCAATATTTTGTGTTGGTGTAAAACTAATTTTTGTTAAACGTACCAACATTTGTGTCCGTGTGAATTTTTATTAACGCACCAACACTTGTGTCGGTGTAAACCATCGAAATGTTTGTGCAAACCTGTGGTGTACAAATGGGGTATATTTTTTGGTGTAAGTGTAGCATCATCAAACTTTTCTATTTCAAGAGAGAGCAAGGCTATTTGGTATGTGGTGTGCCTCCCCCTTTTGTGCTCCTGCTAAAGTAGTGTTGAGTCAACTACGAGTGTGTTTGGCAGTGCGCTACTTTTAGTAATTCAGCTTCTGCTTTGAGTGGAAGTTATTTTATTCTGTTTGGCATGTCGGATTTTGCTTTACACCACCATTATTTTATACACAGAACACCGTTTTGGAGAAGCAGGTATGAGGTCTTTTGCTTTCAGCTTTGGTGGAAATCACTTTATCCAGAAGTTAATCACTCCCAAACAAGTTCTACATATTAACTCATGTGTTGCGTAAATATATTAGAGTAAATTCCAAAATAGTCTTTTGTAATTAGTGGTTTTTCTAAACTATTTCTAAATAAGTTTTAATTACTTATGTGGTCCTTTATAATTGAGATTTATTCCTAAAATAGTTCTTTGTAATAATGTATTTTCCCAAATGAATCCTCAATAAGTTTTAATTATCTATGTGGTCCTCTATAATTGAGATTTATTCCCAAAATGGTCCTTCGTAAATAATATTACTCAAATGAGCATTAATTGAGCATATTCTTTATCTGCTAAATTTAGAATTTAATTCTTAAAATAATCATTTATAATGAAGTGCTTTCCCAAAATAGTTTTTCTAATTAAAGATGTGTATTTGATTTGAAATTTAAAAGATTTTTTTAAATTTTAAATAATTCATAAATTATTTATAGTCAATGTATTTTTTTAAAGTTTACACTTAGTTGTTCAGAAATGATTGTTTCGAGAATATACTTTAAATTTGGATGATCAAAATACCAAACTATCTCCCAATTAATCCTGATTTGAGGACTGATTTGGGAAAATACCTTATTACATAGAGATAAACCAAATACATTTATAAAACTTAAAAAAATTTTAAAATTTCAAATCAAACACACATCTTTAATTAGAAAAATCATTTTGGGAAAACACTTCATTATAAATAATTATTTTAATAATTAATTATAAATTTAGCAGAGAAAAAATACCCACAATTAATACTCATTTGAGTAACATTATTTATGAAGGACAATCTTGAGAATAAATCTCAATTATAGAGGACCACATAGCTAATTAAAACTTATTGAGGACTGATTTGGGAAAACAATTTATTACAAAGGACTATTTTGGGAATAAATCTCACTTATAGAGGACTACGTAGCTAATTAAAACTTATTGAGGACTACTTTGGGAAAACCCCTTATTACAAAGGACTATTTTGGGAATTTACTCTATATTAAATTTATAGTGTATATAAATACTATGAAATAAAATTAAATTCAATATAAAAATTAAAAGCATTACATATTAATATCGAGGAATTAATAGCAAAGATTTAAAACACTAAATGAGAGAATCTAAAGGTGTGAGGTCATCATTACAAATCAAGACCTTAAAACCACGTCGATTGGTCACTAGAGAGACAACAACGTAAAATTAGTCATGACTAAAAACAGGTTTCTTGAACAATAATCCTATATGCTTCAATGATTGGTCTTGACTTTTGTTAACTGTCATTGTGTAGGACGTCATAGTAGAGAACTACTTCATTTGAAACTTAAAGGAATTCGAGTATCTAAAGGAGTGAGCATAAGTCGAGGAATGACTACTTCATTCCTTTGAAACACCATTAATGTGGGTTTGGGTGTGTGACTCAAAGTAAATAATCTACTTGAAGAATTGATATGTTCCAATGATCATAATGTGTGAATACAAGGGAGTATATATAGTAGAGTTTTTCTAGTTATATTAGGAAACCTATTATGTTAGAAATCCTTAATTTATAAGGATTATACATGTATGGAAACTACCATATACAAAATATACTAAATATATACTTAATATATTTGACATGCTCCCAACGGCACAGGTGACGAACGTCAAACTCCCAAGCATTCCTGGAATTCTGAAAAAATGATGGATGGAAGACCCTTTGTGAAGATGTCAGCATACTGGAGGAACGAAGGGACATGAATTACTCGAACCTGGCCGAGAGCCACTCGATCTCTAACAAAGTGTATGTCAACCTCGATGTGCTTCGTGCACTGATGATTAACAGGATTCGCAGAGAGGTAGACAGCACTCACATTATCACAAAAAACAAGAGTGGAGCGGCTGAGTGGTTGCTGGAGTTCTAGGAGGAGGTTGCGTATCCAGCTAACTTCGGCTACGACATTGGCTACTCCTCGATATTCTGCCTCGACACTGGATCTGGACGTGGTGAGCTGGCGCTTAGATGACCAGGAAATGAGATTATCGCCAAGGAATTTGCAATAGCCACATGTGGACCGACGGGTGTCGGGGTAGCCAACCCAATTGGCATCTGAGTAAGCCCGTATGTGTTCCGTGGGAGACGAAGAGATGGAGATGCCATGTGATGGTGTGCCGTGGAGGTATCGTAATACCCGCTTCATGGCCGTGACGTGAGGCGTGCGTGGATCATGGAGAAATAGACAGAGCTGCTCGACTGCATATGTAATGTCAGGACGAGTGAAAGTGAGATACTGTAGGGCCCCCACAATGGAGTGATATAGGGAGGGGTCTAGAGCAGGTGATCCTCCTGAGGTGGACAGTTTCCCTCGTGCGTCAACCGGGGTGGAAACCGGTTTGCAGTTGATCATGCCAGCTCGATCAAGAATATCACAGAGAAACTGAGTCTGTGTCAAGAACAGGCCTTGAGAGGTGCGCTGAACATTAATCCCAAGGAAAAAGTGAAAGGTTACCATATAAGGATAGGCAGTGGAATATAAAAATTTTAACATCCTAACATGATTATCTTGCCCAGAATCACTTAGTAAAACTTATGGTGAGTAATAAATTTATACCTTTCTCCGTAAGCGGTAAAAATGAAGAAGTCATACGAAGAGCGTTGAAAGTGCAAACGTAACCGTTCAAGCATCCGGTCTCCAACTTTGACACACGAACAACGCCGGAGTCTACCACAATCTTTATGCTAGTAAAGGTTATAGTAGTATAAAATATAAAGATTAAAATATGAGATAATAATAATAATCTTGTATATTTCTATAGAAAATATTTCCAATAATATTTAGAAAATATTATAAATATTTTCTATACACAAAATGATATTAATGGAACACTTAAAATAATTTTCTCTCCCTTGCATTAAGTCATAATCAAAAGCTTTCATTAGCAAAATGGAGTGAATTGTTTAAATAAAACAAAGATGCTCCATTATTTTGTCATTAGCTAAATGACAAAATTAATTAGTCCACTAATTTATCAATCAAGCAAAACATTAGCAATTTGTCAATCCATTTTATCATATGGCCGAAAGTTTTGATTTGAGAAGGATATTCAAAATTCTTCTCCACTTAAATGTTCGAAGTGTATTTTATTTCACATAAAAAATTAATGTAAAATTAATTTTAAATCAAATAAAATACCAATATCATTTTTAAACAAGTATAAAATATACTTCAAATAGTTTATGTCAAAATAATTATTTTACAAGTATAAAATATTCAACATATAATATATTTATAAATATATTTTTGTGTTAATATATATATATATATATATATATATATATATATATATATATATATATATATATATATATATAAAATAAAAGTTAATGGAGAGCTTTTTAGAGAGAAGGCAGAGCATCTCTGAATTTCCGCCACTTTCCGCCGGCGGCTACCATCCTTCGCCTCTATTTTATCAGCCGGTGAGCGATCCTGGGCCGTCCATTAGGCCTCCACACCATACCTTTCCATACATTGATGTTCTCTGTGGATCTCCATCAACCCTAGAAATCGATGGTGATATACGACCCCTCGTTCTAGTTCCCCTTCCTCCTCTTGCTCAACTGCAAGTTACGGGAGCACACATGCAAAATCTTTCAAAGAACTTTGCTTCCACAGCTACTGGTTCATCAAAATTTCGCATTGAAGGTAAGATCTTCACCTTCACAAAATCGATTTTCAATCAGAAGATTTGTATTACCGAAAAGCATAGGAACAAGAGCTTCAACATCTGGCTAGAATTAGACACCTGGGCCTGGCTCCTAGAGGCTCTCCATTTCATCACAATGGAAGGAAGGCTTCGATCGGCCTATCGAAGGGAGAAGATGAGTGTGCTCACCCTATCATTTCAGCCGCACAGAAGAGGTAACCAAATCAGACTATGCGAACATCATCAAGATGGTAAGACTTAGGTTCTCATCCCTGAGGGTATTCAAGGTTATGGCCTTACTTCCTTCATCTCTTGCTTTCAGAAAATTTATGATAATCTTAAGTCCTCTGTTCCCTGTTCCCCTCCTTTTATTGATAATGCCTTAGAATGTGCCTGGACTCACCCTCCCCTTATCCAACATACGTACTCTATCTCTGCTACTTTACTTGATTTAGATATTTCTACAAATCTATATCACACCCCCATTTTCTGTCCTAATAAACCAACTACTTTATCCTCCCAAAATCAGCCATGTTCATTGTCTGCTTTGGCTCCAGCCTTCACCCCTCAAAGCTTTGTCTCCCCACCCAGCCACCCTCCTACATTGGCATGCTTAGAACCTCCTCATTTCCAGGGTTGTTCTAATTCAGACAATGATATCGAAAGCCCATCCTGGAGCAAAAACCTCGGGTACATCTCTGACCTGAAGTTTCACCTTTGGCAAAACCTTTCAAGATTCCTTCAGAAGAATCTGAAGATGAATGGGTGACTGTTAGAGGATCAGAAGAAGAGGGAGATTGGCATGTCTATAAAGAGGTTTACATGAAAAAAAACCTGAAGATGTTTGATCAATTGTGTTTGCAATTCAAGGATAATCCCCAACCAAGAAGAAGTAAGAGGCTAACAGAACTCAAAGCTAAACGTGTTTGGGAAAAGAATTGATTTTTGTGGAGAGGCTTCAGTGGCATAAATCATGTTGTTTCTCTTTTTCTCTTGGTTAAGTATGCATGGTTCTAAGGATTTGGATTTTGTTTGGATGTCTCTCTTCCAATCTCATTTCCTGAGTAAGTTGCTGGTTTTCAATGTTACTGCATTACTTGGATCTGGCCATAGCATTTCAAATTTCAAAAAATTCCTCTACTTTGAGAATGGTTAAGCCATCCGGATGGAGTTACAAATTTTGAATAATCTGAATCCGGATCAGTTTTATTCTCTATAGTTGCTGAATAGACAAGTGCAGTGCTGTATTTGGTGGAATGACATGGAGACAGTTTTTAGTGGACTTATCCCCTTACTACTTCAAGGAGAACCGGACAAACCATCACAGGCTGGTACTTTTGGACTTGGAGCAGATTGATATTTTCGACTCATCCACCTTGTACTCTAGGATTGTTTTGTTCTGTTACCTTTGGATTAGTTTGTGAGGACTTTCCTCTTGTTTTCTTTATTGTCAGTCTCCCACTTGTAGGGGTTTCTTGGCCAACCCCATGTACTTTTTCATTTATATCTAATAAATAATAATTTCTCTCTCTCTCTCTCTCTCTCTCTCTCTCTATATATATATATATATATATATATATATAAACCATATATATGATATATTATACTCCAAAATATTTTATTTTACTATTTTACAAATATACAAATTACTTATTATTTCATTATTTAATCATACTCCTTAAATTGTCTAAATTGTGTGACCCGTATAGGCACTTATAAAGCTGGCCACTGTATTGGCGCTGCACCAATACTATAAGCAATAAGCGGTATCTAGCAACACATAATTGCCCCCAGATTATAAGTTAAGACGTTTGCACCGTCAAAACCTTTCCACGACTCAAACTCCGTGTAACTGCATCCTTTGTCTCAATGTCTAGACTTAATGCAAGGGATTAATAAAATCCAACTTGTATCCATTAAGTCATTCACTGATTTATCAAGTCTGACTAATAGGAACAGACGTCATAAAAGCATCTCAGCATGACCATGCAATTTCCTTAGTCATCGTAACTTATCAGTGGGCCCCATAAGACATTAATCTCTTTAAAAAAATAGTGATAAATCCTATTTACGTAATCTACGTTTCTGAATACGCGCTACGGCATACCCAAAATAAAGCATGTATACCATCCTTATTTCATATGGCTTAGGACAATGCATCAAAGCATGCGGGTTCACATATGCAGAAAACGTAATACTTCAAGTCGAAGGATAGTTACACCCGTGGTCGCGCTAAAGATGCTTAGAGCATGAACTAAAAGTTCAAGCAACATCTTTAGGATGGGTCAGTCTGGCATCCTATTATCTCTAGATAATATCTGCCCATGTGCGGATGCAAACACACTGTCATTGACTATGAGACTAAGTCAAACATCCAACACACACTACTCTCCCATGCATTAACGATATCCCACTCTCGTTAGTACTCGACTATAGACATTTAGATAAATATTTAATTCAAGATGTTAGTCTCATCAGTAGAATAACACTATCTTATAAATATCTTTAAATATAAATCTAGGAATATAATATTTGTTTACATTAGCATGAGATGTGTAAACATATTCTATCTACCTATACATGATAGAATAACGATAAAAAGTTGGCCCCAATGTTGTCGCAAAATAACGGGATAGGGTCATTAATATTAGGAACCACTCCAAGTTCAGTAATGAACTTCTTGATCCAAACAGCTTCTTTTGCTGCCTCGGCGGCAACTAGGTACTCAGCCTCTGTAGTCGAATCGGCGGTTGTATCCTCCTTGAAGCTCTTCTAGCTAAAAGCTCCACCATTCGGGCAAAACAAATATCTTGCTTGTGATTTTGAGTCGTCACTACGTCAAAAACAGTATCAGACGACTGTTGATTAACTACTGTTAATGGAAACACAGTAGTTGGAAAAAAACAGACTACTGTAAGTTTTTCTTGGCAATAGAACAGTAGTCTAGGTTTTATGCTTTAAAACTATTTTTAAAGTTTCAAGAAACTGTAATGTATCATTAGTTGTCTGTGTTAATTCAAAATACAATTTTTCTTACAATAGTTGTCAATAACAACTTAAGAATACTCTATTTAAACAATAGTCTGGGCTTTTAGTCTAGAACTGTTTTCAAACTTTTTAGAAACAGTTACGTGTTGCTTGTTGTCTGTTTCATATGGCTTTTTTGTAACTGTTGTTTATAATTGTAATAGAAGACTGTTTGGCAACAATAGTATATGTATTATGGGTAAAACTGTTTTTGAAGCTGTGAGAAACTGTCATCTATCATTAGTAGTCGGTGTATAATTGTTTTTAAACTTATAAGAAATATTATTGTATTGTTAGTTGTATGTTTCATATGGTTTTTTTTTGCAGAATTGTTTATTATAAGAATAGAAGACTCCCTTGTAACAGTAATGTATTTATATAGCGTAGAACTGTTTTTGAAATTCATAGAAGCCGTAATCTATTACAAATTGTCTATAATAAGTTAAGATTATCATTTTTAAACAATAGTTAGACTATTAAGCCTAGAACTATTTTTAGAGTTTTGAGAAACCGTAATGTATTACTAACACACCATAGCTCAAATAGACCCCAATAGTAGTTCAAACACCCCAAACATAATAGAGATTTCCACTCCAAACCATAGTACACACAGCCCCCAAAGAAGGAGTCTGTTGTTCGAAAATGACAGCAAGGAAAACCAAAGTTTCCAGCCCCAATCAAGGCCAGGAACTTATTCAAGGCAAGTAGACCCGTAGCAATGGAGAAATGGACAGTGCTCGAGACCAAAAAAATTCAGGGAGAGAACACCCATTAATGGATTACAAATTTAGTTAAGGAGATGAAATGCACCCTAAATCATGACCAAAATGCACTAGAGAGTCGGAGAAAAAGAAAGCAAGAAACCTGGGAAATCGCGGTTTGAAGTTCGTTTGTGAACAAATTCTTACATATACTGGAAATCCAACTTCAGAATCTTTTTTAGCATCCCAAGTCGCCCAAGGGTAAAATGTAAATTATTATTACCCATACTCAGAACGGTACATCAATGTTATATGCTGAACCATAAAAATGGTCCCATACATGAAATGAATACAACAACAATACAACAATACCACAACTTGGCAAGCAGGCCGGGCCATACAAAAAGACAATCAAAACAGCAAATCTGTAGTTCCATGATTCAAGTACCTGTCCACATCAAATGGCAGGCCACAAAGCAACACAAACCTGTCCACGGCATCCACAAGGCAGCTTGCAAACTCTCAAAGAGTCCTAAAAGTGCAGTAGGTCAGCCCATATACTGCCAAGGCCACTTCAAGTTCAAGTTTCAATTCAGCGGAATCAAACCCAATAAGTCATAAATCAGCATCCAAACAACCCAAAAATCAGCACACTGCATTCACAGCCCAAAAAGAGGTACAAGCAGTGGTAAGGCTGCCCAAGCAGCCACTCAATTCCCCCTGCCATCATGCCACTGTCTGGCTAACCAAAACAAGGTTCATTTCAGCACATAGGAGACCACCACGAACCAAAACAGCTGCTCCATCAAATGGTAGGCCACCACAAACAAAATCAGCCCATAATACATCCCACAAGTTTCCGAGCTCGATGTTAAACTTCCCACTCAATTTTGGTTCAAAATCAGGTTTACCCAACCAAAACAGCAGTGCTAACCAGCTGTTTTTGTTGCAAAATCTACACAAAGGCCTCCCCTAGCAAGGAGAAACCATGTAGGAGCCATATTGAGAACCTCTAAGCAGGTAACATCCAAACCCAGCTTACCACAAACCAGCTGTAAAAGCTTGGCAGGAGGTTGGAGGTTCATGAGTCCATGCCAAAAATAATCCAGCAAAACATCCCCAAAACCATGCCATCACCATTCCCAATTCAACCCAACACAAGTAGCAAAAATCTTAGCAGTACGAGGTTTACACACCATTCAAAACAGCAAAATAACAGCCCAAAACGAACCAAAACAGATGCAAAAACTAAGTCCAGTAATTCAGCTGCAATTTCGAGCATAGCCCAGTGGTACAACTCACAATTCAGCTTCATAGTAACATCACCCTCAACAAAAACATTGCACAAAACGTGGTCCAACACAGGAGCAAAGCAGACTCAAAATACAGAGTGGTGTACAGTAACAAGGACCCAAATTTTTACAGAATTATTGGAATGGAATTGTAATCCATGCTCATACCTTAGATTATAAGACCATTTCAATCAGAATCCACATAGAAAATCCTTCAATTTAGCTTGAGACACCATAAATCTTCATAGGAGTTCGCAGATGAACAGTAACTGCGCTGTGTTGACCTTCGGTTTTGCCCAAAATCACTTCCAAAAACAGCGAGATAACCTCAAATACGGATTCACCCGCTGCAGGCGCATCCTGAGTTCTAAAGCCCTCAATTTGATGGAGAAACGGCGAGAAACTCCCTGCGCGGCACTGTTCATCGCGGTCTCAATCCCAAGTCGCTGTAGGCGCATCCCAAGTCGCCCAAGAAACCACAAAAGATTGCCTTCAAATGAGCTAGAACTGATGTGGATTAATCCTCAAAATGTCGTAGATGAATAATGACTCAAGAGGGTTGACCTTCAATTTTGCCCAGATTTAACCTTCGAGGTCTGCAATTGATCTTAGCACTGGGTTCCCACGCCTCAAAGAGGAAGAGATACGAAACTTGAATGGATTAAGATGCTGTGATAAGAAACTTGCAAAGAGGAAAAAAGAAATTAGGAAGCTGGAGATTTAAATTGGGAAGAGTGAGAATGAAATTGGAAAGAGGGAGAATGAAATTGAGGAGAGGGAAAATGAATTTTTTGATTATTGGGAAGATGGAGAATGAAGTTGGAAAGAGAGAAAATGAATTTTTTGATAATTGGGAAGATGGAGAAGATGGAGAATGAAATTGGGAAGAGAAAAAACTTCTCATTTTTTCTATGTACTTTCAGTTTCTTCCAACAATAATTTAATGTAATTTGATGATATCTTATTTGATCTGATTTTGTCTGATCTAATATGTTAAGATCTAGTCTGATTTGATCTGATCTGAGTGAAATTATATGTAAGGTTATTGATCATTTGATAAAATAAAATACTCTTGTCACCTCTTATTTTGTAGAGTTTTCGATGTAGTTTTTAAATATAATTTTTTATGTGTTATTTTTTACCAATTTGCAAATCATATGATTTTAAAAATCACGAGGTTTTACACGTTAATCAAAGTAAGAAATTCTTTTTGAGATACACTAGTACAAAAATGACTTTTTAAATCGGTTATTTGGACCCTTTTAAATCGGTTTCCAACCGATGCAAAAAGCCAGCGATGCAAATACTCCGATACGTTTTGCATCGGTTGCTAAAACCGATGCAAAAACCCTTTACAAAAATTAGCGCCAGTTCTGAAAGTTGGCTTTTTGCATCGGTTATTACTAAAAAACCGATTCAAATGCCCCTACCCAGAAATGGCGCCATATTTGGGTAGGGCTTTTGAATCGGTTATTTGTTAGAACCGATTCAATAGCTAATCTTTTGAATCGGTTATTACAAATAACCGATTCAAATGCTCCTACCCAAATATGGTGCCATTTCTGGGTAGGGCCATTTGAATCGGTTTTTTAGTAATAACCGATGCAAAAGATTAGCTTTTGAATCGGTTATTGAAAATAATCGATTCAAAAAGGCTTTAAATTTTCAAGATTAATTTTGTTTGTTAACGATATAATGGAATACAACAATGCAGAAAATTCAGCCCATCAACACAGAAGTAACTAATACAAATGTTTTCACAAAAATCAAATCATATGTCACAAAATGAATTAAACCACTTGAATATCTTAAACAATATAAGAGTAAAACTACTACGTACTCTTCAAAGTTTTAACAATACAACTAAATCCTAAAACTACATTGTACTCTACTAACTTACACAAGTTCATCGAGAAAACCCCCGGCCCAAAACTCTCTAATTTCCTCTAACTCGGCTCTAGTATAAGGCAAAGTAGACTGAAATACCTGCAAAATCAAACAACACACGACATAAAGTTCAATAATTATTACCCTACACTTCACTACTTTCGTAAACACTAAAACAAACTTACCTCGAATAATGGTACTGAACATTT